TATTCAACGTGAAACACATCGCTTACATATTCAAGATTTTAATCGTAGTATTTTGGAAAGTAAATTATTCGTGAAATATGCATATTAATTCATAAGGAAAAACACAGTTTCTTTTAAGACAGTTAGTTCCCTTTATGAATTTAGAGAAAGCAATAACAAGACGTAATTTTTCTGTCTGAATCGTGTGTGTAATATGTATTTGCGCAACACATTTGGAACAATCTGTTCCATCACACACGGACTTGTCATAGGAATATATATATGAAATTAATAAAGAGTTAAGAGATGAGAGAATAGACTACTTAGGTCAAGTTAAAAGGACATATTCAAGGTCAAAATAACAATGAAGACCACCAAACCAAATAGCAGAGGTAATAGTACATCTGCCCTGACTGGTATCAAAACAAAGTGTACCAAGGAAGGCGGTTTAGTGTGGTGACAAATTGTTTCTAAACGCATAAAGGTGGTGTGAATTTCCTGATTGCTAGGGCTTCCACAAACTTTAGGATGCGCCCTCTTTTCAAGCAGGTTTTGTTATTATTATTATTCCCTTGGGTTCCTAGTGGAACATAGGGAACGTCCCCACTTGCTTCTGTCTTCTGCTGTACTTTTCACCTGCATCTATGTTAGTCCATACTGTTTCAACTTCTCTTCACACGATCTCCTTTATGTCACCCTTTCACTGACGTCCCACTCGCCGTTTCCCTTTCGGCCTGGTTCCACTCGAGCAATGGCCTGACGCGCGCGCGATGTCACCCAGCGGCCTCCAGCCTCAGCGAGTGTTCAATCCATCTCCACTTTCTGCTGCATATTTGTTTTTGTTGGACGATTGGTTTGCTCTTGTTTTATTTGTTCCCATAGTTTCTTGTTGGTGATTCTTTCCGGCCCGGCCATCTGATCTTGAGTAGCATAGAGGGAAGACAGTTGTTGATAAAGGTCTGCAACAGGCTGTTGGAAATATTCCTTGTGACACACCCGCCAAGTTTCTGATACGTATAGAAGAAATGACTGACAAAGATTTCCAGTTTGTTTTCAGTTGGTTGATGAATGTGTTTCTCGCCTTCCCGATTCTCGCTCGGTTTGACATCCTCATCCGTTCCGACTGTAGTTGAGACAATGCTTCCTAGATAAATGAATGAAGTAACCTCTTTCAAATCCCTCCCGTTGATGGTGATTGGCGTTGGATGTTGTTGCTGCTGTTGTTGTTGTTGTTGGTTATTTTCATAACCTCCGTCTTGTCTATGTTCACCTGTCCTGTCTTCGCCGACTGCTTCTTCGACCAGTTTGTCGGTCGGTTTTCGCTTGTATGTCTTCGATTGTGTGTGACATCAAACATAAATCATCCACGCGCGAAAACCAGGTCTTCTAGGTTCTTCACGTCTGTCAGTCCAGGATATCCCTGTCTTCTCGTTTCCCACTGTCTGACGCATAATCTAGTCAGTTCACCACAATTAGGAATATCATTGGTGATAATAAGCCATCACCCTTGTCTGACTCCTGTGTTTACTTCAAACGCCTTGCTGAGTTTTCCGTTGTGGATCACTTGCTATGTGCCGTTGTCGTACATCTGTTGAATAAGGTTGATGAATATTTGGGGTACGCCATAGTACTCGAGTAGTTTCCAAATTACTTCGCGGTCAACGCTGTCGAAGGCTTTCTCAAAGTCTATAAAGTTGAGGTAGAGGTTTGATTGCCATTCCATGTTTTGTTCTGTGATGATGATGCGTAGAGTTGCAATTTGATCCGAACATGATTTGTCTTTCCTGACTCCAGCTTGTTGTGGTTGGGGTTCTGTATCCAGTGCGTCTTTTATTCTCTCCAGGATGATGAGACTCAGCATTTTACTTGGCGTCGACAGGAGCATGATTCCTCGCCAGTTCTTGCAGAGTGAGTCCTAAGTCGCCCTTCTTTGGTAGCTTCACGAGGTAACCTTTCCTCCAGTCAGTAGGCACCTTTCCCTCCTTCCAGACCTTTTGCAATAATGGAGTCAGCAAACACGTGTTATAGGTAGGTTTAAAAGATATGTAAAAATCAATTTTTGATGTCCTGTCTCTTTAATATGTTTCACAATAGAGGAGCTAGGTTGTCCGTTCTCACCATTAATGGCTTCTGGAGATTCTATTTGTTTCTGAAGCCATTGAAGAGTATGCTTTGAAGCCAGCTCATACTTTCAGAGATCGATGAGTCCTCCCTATATATATATATATATATATATATATATATATATATATATATATATATATATATATATATATATATATATTGTCCACACGTACATTCAAATTGATAAATACAGTGGGATGTGACATCACTTTTCACATGTTCAGAGGGCTTAGGTAGATATATTGGCTTCAAATTCTCAATTATTGTGATATTAACTGCATAAAAAGTCTTTTTAACCATATCAGCGTTGAATCTTTGTCTAGTTATCAAACAGCTATGATGCCCTATATAGAGTAGTTTGATGTACACGTTTATTCTTAGAAGCGAGTTTTGTTCAGCGAAGAAATACCTACTTCTTTTCAACGATTTCATTTTCAAACTGTTTAGTCGTATTTATATTACAGAAAAACGAGGCATTCAATGGCACTAGAAACTGCTCAGTGGTCAATATTGCACATATGTGATGATAAGAATAAAGATAATTTACATGATTTATTAAGGCGGTATAGTTGAAGTGGATGAATTAAAACAACTTTTAAAGATAATTAAATAAGTGAATTGGTATTAAGATTTAAAAGAAATTGTAGATCAAGTGCATCGGTGGCACAGTGGTTAGGACTCTCGCCCCGACCATGCACATGTTCCGACGTTCAATCCCCTGCCGACGACGCACGCCTGACTGATATTTATGGTTGGCCTGCAAAATTAGGGCTACCGATATCCATGCTGGAAATTCCATACTTGTACCAAAAATACGGGGTGGAATCAAACTGTAATCGAAATAAAAAAAAAAAAATAAGATGATGATAACAGTAAAGACGGCGAAGATAAAGTGAAGTGGGATGTATTCACATGGTAAAATAGAATAAAATCAAAAGAACATTAATATGACCAAGGGTAAATAAACAAAAAGGGTTTAACAAAACGTTTTTGAACACATAATTTAGGTTTCTGTCCATGTATATAACTAGAGGTTCAGCTATGCACAAATGTTAAAAACGTGAATTTTTTGAGTGGTTGGTTGGATTCGACCCTCTAGAGGTAACTTTGAAGGATAATCCAAGTAGGGCTAAATGACCTGACTCCTCCAAGAGGCTTTCTCCAATTGAAGACTTCGTCATCCTATGCTCACTTTTCAGTAACCAAACTGAGCGGTTGTGTTCGGCTACACGTTTACAGAAAACACGCTTACAACGTCCAGTGTAATCAGCAACTCCATACGAGCATGTTGAACGAGTATATGCACATAAAGGTGAACATAAGCGGCGGTTTATCCTTATCATATGTGTAATATTGACTGAGCAATTTCTGGTACCACTTAATGCCTCCTTTTTCCGTAATATAAATACAGTTTAAAAAGGAAGTTGTTGAAAAGAAGTAGGTATTTCTTCTCTGAACAAAAAAAAACTGTGTTACAGGATTTCATCATGAGCTGGCATCGATTAAAGAACTATGGGAAAACCTAGGAGTACTAGACAGTCAGCTGTTTCATCAACCTAGTTTGGGACTCTTCATCAGTATGCACCCACTGAGGTTTGAACCTAGAACCTTCTGGTTACAAGGCGAGCTAGCTCGTAGACTATTAAGCCACCGGAACCCCCCAATCCATTGGCCAGTCCATGAATTCTAACTTCTGCCAATTCAGGACATATCATGATTACCACTAGCCAATGTCATCGGTGGCGAGTATTTGTCCTCATACACACACCTGATCTTCTGTACCCCTCCCACTGGTCACGACTTCTCACTAAGTACCCTAGGTAACTACCTACCTGAACAGGGCCAGTCACTAGTGAGCATCTCATTGATATTCAAGTATTGGTTTATTGGGATTTGATTGTTTGGTTACAGGATTTCATCATGAGCTGACATCAGTTAGAGAACCATTGGCAAACCTGGCTGGGAGTACTGGACAGTCAGCTGGTTTTGGAATCAATCAAAACCCTACAAACCAATACTTGAAAAAAACTGTGGTTTTTCCCAATGAACTAAATTATTGTTTATCTCAGCAGCATCATATGTGACGGGAACCCGTATTATTTATTTATTTATTTAAACGCAGAAGAAAACTTGGTACAATATGGCACCAAGAAATATGCGCCACACAATAATAATAAAACAACATAGATTAAAAGTAATAAAAAAATATAAGTAGAGAACGGATAACCAACTTCATCTGGAAGGAAAACAGTCATGCTTAACAAGTTCAAACAGCATTCGTTAACTATCTTCGGGAAGGGAAGAAAGAAGGAAATTGCAACACGTTCGCCATTGATTACGATTCTTGGCCATATCCGATAACGTTTCGAGTCATCGATTTGAGCTATCTCGCGGACCCCAACCAGGGAGTCGTGACGCACCAACCAATGCTAATCTAGCAGAAACATTCTTCATCCCACGACGCCACTTCATGGACTGACCACCCCTCCGCCTTTTCCATCCCGTCCCAGGGTGGCTAGCGAACAGAGACCTGTACGGAAGCCTCTGAGATGACATTCGAAGCACATGTCCAAGCAACCACCGGAGCCGGTGTTTCCAGATGACGACACTCAATGAATGGTGATCTCCACTGTGTTCAAACACACGCCGCCGAACCTCAGAATTACTCGCGCGATGATGCTATCGAACGCAAGCAATCCTACGGAGGCAGCGATGATTGAACATGCAGAGCCGCCGCACATCCTTAGCCTACTCGGAGAGGCCAGACCATTGGAATCCGTGGCGTAACTTAAAATCAGTCGAATCCCATACAAACCAACACTTTTCTCATAAACGTTTAATTTTGTTTCCATCTTTTCACTCTTTATTTATAATTTTAATTTGTTTCTAATTTTCAGCTCGTGTTGGTAAAACAACCCTTATCTTATCCTTAGTAAGCGAAGAATTCTCTCCAAAGGTTAGTTTAGATATTAGTTTCTTATTAGTGTTAATTACGTTTTGGTATAATAAATAGAGATGAGGCCTGAAACTCACGTTTAACACATTCGGTCACACTTAGTGTTATAATCTAACTAATTGATTAATCAATTATAAACCCTTGTGTTAAGCTGTAGGTCACACGTGTGAAGATGTAACTCATTGGCTTAATCAACTGACTTTAAGCTGAATGAGCCTCACTTCACCTACTACAGTCTGGTCTGTCTATCTGTCTGTTTTCAACATAGAACTGCTTCGCACCGATGTGTAGCAGTTCAAGTCGCCACACTCCCTCCATTTAGCACACAAAGCAAGAAAAGAAAGTAGTAGAAATGCAAAATAGAGACAGTAGACAGGTATATGGAAAAAAAGGAATAGTAATAACGAAGAACAATATAGTTACATTGGGTATTATGAGTCACAAGAAGTGGATACATCTGCGCTATGCATTGAGAACGGGGATTTTGAGCCATATTACCGATTGTCTCCAGCCACTGGTGTTTACCGTCCCGAGGACCCCGACCAGTCAAGAAGTCTACACCTTCCTACGTGGCTTAAACTAACTGTTGTGGATTTCATTGACTGATGAAGCCATGTTTTGGTTTGAACACCGCTAACTAGCTTCTTTTCCAACCTGATCCATCCTGTGTCAGTCAGCTAACATTGCCCGTTGAGGAAGGCGGTCAGTGGCTAGGCATGCATGCGTAACACATGTCCTAACCATCTCAGTCGATGTAGCTTCACAACCTAGTCTGTTGATTTCCCCTCTACACCACCTAGCACTCGACCGACGCCTAATCTCAATATTGCTCACCCTATTATATCACGCCATGTAACACGGGAGATAGGACGCAGACACCTATGATCAAAGACAGCTAGCCATGCTTTTCATGTCTTCCACTTTCAATGGCCATGTCCAGTTCACAGCCATAAAGAAGGACGGAGCAGACTGCTGTGCAGTACACATGTCCTTTGATGGACAGCCAGCCGGATATCACATCTACGTTAGAGACGGCGTAAACTGGCGTATGCGAAACTAGCCCTCTGTATCCGTACTGAGATTTCGTCAGAGATCAACCCGTTGGCACTGGCTGTTGGTACTTCCCAGATAAGTGAAGCGGTCAACGTGCTCTACCACATCACCGCCTGTTTAGAAACTAGGAGTCAGTGTAGTCCAGTCCTGTAACATCATCATCTTACATTTGGCGGGAGCGAATCTCATGCCAAACATTCGTAGATTGCGGCTCAAGGTGTTCAGAAGATTCTGTATTTTGTCACCGTCCTTGCCTAGAAGGACTATATCGTCTGCATATTCTAAGTCGACGAGATTATTCCGTGGTAGCAAGCAGGTCAATCCATGAGTCTTTGAAGTAAGTACATCTATGATGAAATTGAATAGAAATGGGGATAATGGGCATCCCTGACGGACACCACTAGTCGTCACCAATTCAGATGACAATTCGCCGTAAGCTCTCACCTGGCTGTATGAGTTCGAGTAGACTGCATTGATCAGTGCTGTTAGGGTTCTCTGGATAGTGGTAAGAACCAATGGCAGTGGCTGGAGACAATTGGTCATATGGCTCAAAATTCTCATTTCCAATTGCTGGCCCAGACGTACTCACTCTTTATGCATCATAATATCCAATAAAAATCTACTGTTCTTCCATATTAATATTTTTTTTGCCTCATGCTTCTGGTTGTTATCTCTCTTTTCTTTTGCTTTGTGTGGTACATGAAGGGAGAATGGCAAGTTGAACTAGTGCATTTCTGTGTGAAGTTTTACATTGAAACCAATCAGTCAGTTAGTTAACATAGCTAGATGAGCAGGGCGATGTTTTGGGATGCTCAACACCTACCCTAGGCATTTTAATGGATGCAGCTTCATAATCTCATCTTGCTTTTGGAAGTGTAAGCAAGATAACAAAACGATATAGTTCTTCTAGACGAGGACGCTGACAAAATGCAGAGTCTTCTGAACACCTTGAGCTGCAATCGACGAATGCTTGACATGCGATTCGCTCCTAGTTTAGAAATAGGGAGTGAAGTGGTAGAGCGTGTTGACCGCTTCACTTATTTGTACCATCAGCCAGTGCCAAAGGGTTGAACTCTGATGAAATCTCAGTACGGATTTAGAGGGCTAGTTTTGCATATGCCTGCCAGTTTACGCCGTCTATGGCTTAGTAGACATGATATCCAACTGGCTATCGACCAAAGGGCGAGTGTATTGCTCATCAGTCCGCTGCGTCCTCCTTTATGGCTGTGAGGCCTGGTCATTGAGAGTGGAAGGCATGAAAAGATTAGCAGCCTGATTTCTATCTCCCGTGTTAGGTGGCGTTGTATGATAAGGTGAGCAATATTGAGGTTAGGCGTCGGTCGAGGGGAAATCAATCGACGGGGCTGTGAAGTTACACCGATTGAGATGGTTAGGATATGTGTTACGTATGCCTAGTCATCGCCTTCCTTGACGGGCAATGTTAGCTGATATGGGGTCAGGCTGGAAAAGAGCTAGCGTAGGTCAAACCAAATTATGACACCAGTCAATGAAATCTGTCTGTCTCTGTCTGTTTTCGACATAGAACCTTGCACAAATGTGCGACAGTTCAAGTCGCCACACTCCGTGTAGCACGCGAAGCAAGAGAGAAAAGTACAAGAAAAGCATAATAGAGACAGTGAGAAGAGGGGTGAGACAACGGAGTAATAACGAAGAACAAAATAGTTTCATTGGAGATCATAAGTCACAAGGAGTGGATGCATCTGCGCCAACCAGCCATTGAAAACGATTTTGAGCTAGCCATGTCACCAATTGTTTCCAACCATAGATTTTTACCGTCCCGAGGACCCCAGCCTGGAAGTCTACACCTTCCTACGTGGCTTAGACCAACTGTTGTGGATTTCATTGACTGATGCCAAGTTTTTGTTTGACCGCCGCTAGCTTTTTTCCAGCCTGACCCTATATCCGCTAACATTGCTCACTGTCGAGGGAGGCGATGGTTTGGCATACGTAACACATGTCCTAACCATCCCAGTCTTTGTAGCTTCACGACTTCGTCGATTGATTTCCCCTGTTTACCTAGAGGCGAGTAGTTCAGTCCTTTCTCCTTTTTACTGACCCGTTCAGACGGACAGCACACATTCGGCTATCTACCGGGATCCAGTCAAGCAATGTCCTTTCTGCTCTGGTACTCAAAGCTATCCCTACGCCAGCTAATCCTCGTGAACTAGCTGTGGCATCTCCTGACATCCTCAAGGTGAATTTTGCAGATTCAACCTGTTGGTCAGGTGGTGTTAGGTGAATAACCACACTTGGGTCTTGTATGCGTGTTTCTAAAACACAGCATACATCAATGGCTCGGGATACCAGGGTTTTGGCTAGTGATGCTTGTTGTCCTATTTGGCACAGTGTCCTGACATTAAATGCTCCTATATAGAATTGGTGGCGTGGCTTTAAGAGGCTGTCGGTGGTGGTTTTTTGGCTTCCATCGTCTTTAGTGGACGCAGAGTGGAGAGGAAGTGGAGAGCTATCAAACCGAGGAGTTGCATCAGTGGAAGAAAGGCAAGATGATAGAGATGAAGATGAAAACAAAGATGAGTGAGTAATGGAGAGGTTTCGCGTGCGTTTCGGATTGTGAGGGCGATTGTTACTTCCTGGCTGCCCAAACCGTGGAAGTTGGTTGCGTGACAGCAGAGCAATGAAATCTACAACACTTAGTCTAAGCCACGTAGGAGGGTGTAGACTTCCTGGTTGGGGTCCTCGGGACGGTAGAAACCACTGGCCGGAAACAATTGGTGACATGGCTTAAAATCGTTCTCAGTGGCGCAGATGCATCCACTTCTTGTGACTTATGATTTCCAGTGAGACTCTATTGTTCTTCGTTATTACTATTCCTTTGTCTCACACCTCTGTTTGCTGTGACTATTTTGCATTTCTTCTACTTTCTTCTCTAGCTTTGTGTGCTACCTGGAGAGAGTGTTGCGACTTAAACTAGTGCACATCGGTGCAAAGTAGTTCTATGTCGAAAACAAACAGAATCTCATCTTGCTAACTTGCCTACCTTACCTAACACTTTCCACCAAGTCTCAGTAATACACATAGCATTGTATGACTGGCAGACATGATTAGGATGAAAAGAGTAGTTGAAGGATTTCATCATGAGCGCTGACATCAGTTAGAGAACCATTGGAAAGCTAACTGGGAGTATTGAACAACCGGTTGTTCCATCAGCCTAGTTTGGGACTCTTCATCAGTAGTACACACCCACCCCACTGGGGTTCAAAAGCAGTACCCTCTGGTCCCAAACTAAGTCGAAACAGCTGTCCAGTACTCCCTGCAGGTTTTCCAATACTTCTCTAAATGATGCCAGTTCATGATGAAATCCTTCAACCAATCAAACAAAATCCCTCTACAAAAGGCAATACGTGAAAAGAATACTTAAATAAAGGTTATTGAGGCTTTCAAGTACCCCCTACAGACGTGTAAATATCACTCGCAGTTATTAAACGTGAAACACACTGCTTACATATTCAGAATTTTAATAGGAGAGGATTTGGGATACTAAATTTTCTTCCTTCATATCATACACTTGTTCCCTTGTATGACTTTGAATAAAGCAATAAAGCAACGGTTTGGGCGGAATAAAATGGTACCACCATCATTGTTTATTTCGTTGGCTTTTCATCAGCTGCGTACATCCTGAAGACATTATTATTCAGTTTATGTATAGGAGAATTTTAACATACTTGAAAATGTGACAGAAGACTGCAAAACTTATACCCAGACTGAGAACATCAGTCCAATCAATCGACAGGAAAAACTAAAATTCAATTAAATAATTAATATGAGCCGTTGCACAAGAGATGGCCAGCTATCGTGGCCCAAGTGGCCTAGTGGATAACGCTTTGGCTGGCATTTGAAACTATGGGCACTGGGTTCGAGCCTTAGGGGTGGGAAAATCATCACTCACTGGGGAATGCAGGTACATC